ATGCGGTAACATGCCAAAGACTTCGTCACCCTCTGCAAACTTGGTCACATCGCTTCCGTAATTAGTCACTACACCCGAAAAGTCATATCCAACAATCTGCGGCCTGTTCAAACAGTATTAGCTTCAAATCAAGCATCATATTTACCAAAAAACCCACCAAGTGTCTTTAATTATCAACTTCATCGCGCCTTGTCGCCTTTTGTAGTCGATCTTCAATACAATCAAAAGTTATTGATCAAAATTTCGTATCACAAGTTCCATAACACGTACGGGATTTAGCGCGGCTGCGTGCACTTTAACCACGACGTCTTTTGGATCAGCCAGCTTCGGGTCCGGCTGGGTGCCCATTTCCATAACGGTGGGACCTCCATGTCTTTAAATGGCAAATTATTTATTAGCATTATGCAGTCGAATTAAGAGGAAGTGACGCACTTTGTGTAATACCACGATCGCATTTCAAATTTGCCCTGTCTTCCAATTTGTAATCGGTCTTCTAGTTCTTAAATGGATCCTCAACTTTGACGAAATATCAAACAGGGTGTTATAGAGTCAAGTTCTTTAATTATTCGAGCGACGTTAGCTCTTTTAATAGAGAGGAGTAGAGGTTACACAGCCGATTGACGACTTCGTCATGAAGCTATCGTAATTACGTTATGTAAAGACTCTGGGAACTATGCCGTAATCATGTCAATAAAAATAGCAGGGAGAGGTGTTTCAAGGTCGACCCTATACACCATGTACCCATTTTAACTTCGTCCTTTGTAAACTGGCTCTTGAAATGCTATACTCCAATGTTTAGAGCTCTAGCCACGTCAGTATGGCGACACTTTATCCAGAATGTGTTCTCAATAGAGCTACAGTGTGCGTGGAATATGAAACTTAGCTACATAACAATTAGATCCATAATTTTAAACGACGAGAGGCAGTATTAAAAGGACATAAACTTTTTCAAAAGTCAGAAAAAAACTCAGCCGGATGTTGAAATGCGCTCAAGTGTAGCATACATCAAAATCCATCGTGCTCCGTCTGTAGAGCTTCATGTTCTAATAAGCGCTGAAATATGTTCCTCTAGACTTGCCCAATAGGTGCTACCACATTAAACCAATAGCGAAATTATCAAGGTAGACAAACGCAAGCTTTAAGCATGAGAGATAAACTCTTAAGTGCAACATTAACTTTCAGATACACTTGATGTACACCCCCGCGCACTCCTTCCGGTTTCATGCACATAAAAAATATGCTACGTTTTTCTGGTCAGACTTTTGTAGATACATTCGCGATAATCTCGTTGGTTTTCGAAGCCATGATCAGGTCAATCACTTGTACAACTCATGTCATTACTTCAAGTAAGAGTCACGAGGTTACCTTTGCCCACTAATCGCGCAGCTGGGGGTGTCACTAGTCCAGTTTCTCAGCAAAGACGACCCTATGAGTCTAGGGTGAAGCGACTCTTCTCCATACTCTTCGCAGTGAAGAATGCCGAGATCTTCAGTTGCTTCAATTCCGCTTGCACCATCTTTCTCGCATGCTTCATGACCAAAGCGATGTCACACCCACTCTGTCAATGCGCGAATGCGCAGACCGCGAGGGGCTGGCATGCGACTAGCTTTTCGCAGTGAGAGAAGGCCTATTTATCTTCTCCATCTTCACCCTCATCGGCAGTATCACTCTCTACATCACCGGTTGGCGGGGTGTTGTCCACAGTGGCACCTTGGAAGTTGTCTTCGATGTTGATGTAGATATTAACGTTGAGCGGGTCGGTAAAGTCGCGATGACGAATGAGACCGCTGAGCTCGGGGGGTCATCATCATTGACACAGCCGCTGAGTGACCTGAGCAAAGCAGCCATGGGTGTTATCACGATGACCGTATGACATCAACAGTTCTATATGGTGTTCTCACTGACACCACCGCAGCATCAACGGCTTTCAAAACATCCATGCGCAAGACGGTGCCGTTGGCCTCGAGCTGGTCAATCAATCAGCGTACAAGAAGCTTCTGGTACTTACACTTGTAACTCTTACTGATACCAGCGTCGAGTGGTTGCAAGAATCATGTCGTGTCCGATGGGAGATAGCACACACACAAACGTAGGCGAGCTCGATGCTGTCGTGGGACGACGCTTTGTCCACCAACAGCAGCACTTGCGGCTGTGCAGCTCGAGATTGAAGCGGTTGGGCCATGCCAACAAGACAACGCGCGTCATCTATGGCTCAGAACTGGATACCAAGGCGCTGATTATTCACTCTCCGAAAACTGCGAGGCTTCTTGCTGATGTCCATCTTCTTGGTAACTGCTATATTGCCACACAGAACGACAGTGCCTTATCCAGCTTGACCCCACGAATTTTGCTAGTTGCAAGAGGCTGGCTGGGCAGCATGCGAAAGAAGAGGCTGGTCTTATCAAACTTGACGACATCCTGCGGTTTATTCGCCACAGTCATAGCTCGAAGTTTGCGACGCTTGAAGTCGACCGTGGCGAGGTCCACTGACCCGGTTGCATCGTGCAGTGCACAAATGAATGCTGTTGCGCCGTTTGAACTGTTGCGCCGCCCATAAATTCGAGACATCTTGTAGATAGTGAAGATCGCTCGCCTCCACTTTCGGGGCTGGCGCTGGCGTATTGCGTTCATGTCAAGTGGGGTTGGGGTGGCGCTGAGACGACCAGGGTAACCGTCGAGCCACCAAATGTCTTGCCAAACTTGGATAGTGCCCACGAAGTGAGATCCTGGTGACGAGGATGATGATTCGCTGCTTCTGGCTGTAGGTCAAGCTTGTGCGCACCATTATGCGAATAGAAGTGACTTGCGTTTTTGATATATGCCCTTGGAGCTGCTATTCGGGCCATCCATCCATTGCTCATTGGGCCATGTACGCGTATACCGTCCAGCCGTATTGTTTTACTTGGATTCTGTATGACGTATTTTTTTGGTTTCTTAGTTTTTATTTAGAATCCGCTCTAATATCGTGGGCCCTAATATCGTGAGCAGACTGTTATTGCAAAGCAAGACCCAATTTTATCATAGTGAGAGCGGTATGAGAATGATGGCAATACAAAAGAGGTCTATATAAAGAGTATGTACACTAGATTACAGTTTTTCCCTTCACTTTCCTCTTTCCACTTTTGAAGATGGGCGTTCAACAAATTTTCTAGCTAGCGCGGCTGCAACAATGTCGCTGTGCACTTTGCACAGAAAGGCTTTCGGTGTTTTAAGTCCGCACTACCGAACGCAGAGAGAATGGAACCGAACGCCGTTACCAAGATGTGGCCCCCTGACCCTTTCCGGTATCAAGTCAAACTGTCAATTCTCACTCAAAAATAGCAAAAGTTCACACCCAATTTATACTTCTAGCTGTCTGTCATACTAAATCTTAATAATGTGATGCGTGAGACTGACAGCCCACCTGCTCCGCAATCACCAAATGTAGAAGCAGCAACACATTGACATTTCACATCTGACTAATAATGGAAGTTCGCCATGCGTTATTTGAATGTTTTCGTACATCGTAACAAGCTCCTCAGGATCACGAGAATTCAACTAAAGCTAACCGCATGGCCTGACGACACGCCACGAAGGACGGAAGCCCGGTTATGGTGTTATTAAAGGCTTGTTCGGTGAAGAAAGCAACGTATTTTGACGAAATTTGTAAAAGTGACTACCGATTTAAGCGCACCACATGCGCCCACTCCACAGACGGCCTTGGTGGTGCATCTCACATACAACACAAGTCGGCGGTCGCAATGTCCAAACTCATCCCCACGTGAGCTATACTACCATGCCTGATTCCTGAAACGGGATATGTAACGGCTGCCCACTTTATGACTGACGACGAGTCAGACCCTTAACAAGTGAATGGCACTTAGCTGTGCAAGCTCAACTTGCCCGTCTGCAAGCAAGAGTATATGCGTTACTACAACTTCAATAGCATCATCAACGACTGAATTATGTAATGGTCATGGCTTTGATCAACTCGGGCCAATGGAACCCGCGCTGCGATGCAGCACTATACTTTTGTGGGAGTGGGACTGCAGGTCTCAAAATTGAAATTGACATGCCCCTACTCGTTAGAAAGAAATGCGCTGCAATCTACTAAGATTCCCAGAACAGCGGGTGTGCAAAATTTCAATCTTTATCGACTCCAGGACAATGTATCCGGAATGAAATCTAAATCTTCAGGAGGTTTTATAGTGAGGGTATATCTTCCACTTTACCAGATACCGGTTGTACCTCTGTTTAATGCGCCAATTTGTAAGCCTTTGCATATGAAGTGGCTTTCAGCTTGCTCATCGAGTAGTGCCGGCCGGGGCAACCCTCTCATACCTAATTTTAGCAAGCTAAACGAGTTGATGAGGACCAAAAAAGTTAATACACGCCTGTTCCAGAGTCGGTCTTCGTTCGGACACGCGTTGAAAGTGCACAGTCGGGTCAATATGACTCGAGGCACCTCACGGCTCTCGATAATTCGTGTCTCACTTGCCCGGGATGTTTTCTATTGATTTCAATATGGGAGGTCTGAACTCAGCATTGCAGGTTCATGCAATATATACAAGAGCGAAAGCTGTTTCTGCTTGGCGGGAAATCTGAGTCACATGCATTATTTTGCTATAGCATGCCTCACAATGATGTACAGGGAGATGTTCTTGATTATTTTATGGTGTGTTTTCAAATAGCTTGAGGGGGTTTGTTGTCGGTGCCCCCACGATCTGACATAGATATGTTTTCTTGTGATGAGTTCAATCTTCGACGCTGATAGATATTTACAGCATGCCAACCGCAATAAACGCTTCATTTAATTACAAACATCGAAAAAGTCGCGGTGCACAGATTTCTTTGCTCTTGGTCCAACCTCAAGTTTACGGGTGCGCAGCGTATCAAGATGTACGCACACATTACACTTTTGTCTCTCGGACGTAAAGCAAATCTCTGAACTGTTAAGTTGCTGTTGTGAAGTAGGTATCATCTGACACGCGGACCACCGACCTAACTCTGTAAACATGTCTAGTCTGCATTTGATGATCAGAGGAGTGACATACATCGGACATCCAGCTTAAATTTAACTCTGTTAGTTACATGAAGAATCTAGGCTTCATTTCTAGTTGTAGAGTACAAAGCGCCTTCTATGCACCAAAATTCGTACTACGCTTGATTAATACTCCGATTGTGCAAGGTGCACGACAACCCAGCTGCACTTGATGGCACCGATCTTCAATATGTCGACCGAGTCTTCATAAACTGTACTTTTGTGAGAATGATCTTAACTTCGTAACTTATCGGCTGCCCCCACAAATGGACACAGACAGACCCAAGCTTAGTCTGCCGCTTAAAAGCCGTCAAATCGCTACTACTTTGACCCCTGCATGGTCTTTGGGCCATGCCGAGCCTCAACTCACGCAGTTCGCGTCTCAGACAGTAGAGCGCCTACAGGAAATGCATACTGATCTCTGGTAAAGAGCAACTAAGTAGCTAAGTGCGCTAAGTCTGGCCGAAAGGCTCTGACTGGAATTGTCGCGGCTGTACTCTGCAACAAGCCGACTACAAACTTAGTTATCAGCTTTGCTGATGATCGTACGGGATTCTCTATGATTTACGCCAGACCAAGTAATTTTCTAGACAATTACAGGGAGGGCTCGGGTATAGGTATATACAAAGGACAAGACAGTGGTGCTATCATTTCGACCGTGGACTGAAGAAACCGAGCCGCTGCGATAACCCTAGCGGCATTCGAAGTTTGTCTAAGTGGGAACTACTGGCTGCGCTAAATGATAGGCATCCCTTAACCACGTTGTCGATTTGAAGTTTACCGACTTCAACGCCTTGAGGAAATAGGAGCTCGGTGATCATTGAATTTAACTGCGCAAGAACTTAAAGCTGACAAATCATAATTCTCCAGCAAATTATCCCGCCCGTACTGATACATGGATAGTTTCCAAATTTTAAACTTTTTTCCCGCCAAATGTTTTCATTTGAGACTTCAAACGCTCTACATTGTGATCAGTGCAGTGGGTCAGGGTAGTCTTGGCTTGACGCCCATAATGGACTATCACCTTCGGCTACAGCGGTAGGACTCTGGCTGGAGCTTCGCCACATAGATTTATCTGAATACCGTCCGAGCAAGGTATTTCTAGACTAAATTAACTCTTTGCAGTGTGCACGTTACCTGTAACGGCCGCAAGTTTGTCCACATCACTGAATCCAAATGTCATCACAGCTACGGGGTTCCTGAACCTGCCTCTTATTCATTCTGGTATTGCAACCACGCGACAGAAGTCTGGGCTAAGTGGCATGAAAAATTTGATGGTTTTCTTCAGTCAACAGCGGAGTGGGAGTCAATCGAATATTTCAAGGTTGAACTCACTACCCAATGCGAAATATTTTTATGGTTACAATCTGTTTGGAGCTTTACACATTGAACAGGCGGTGATTCTTTGCTGATGTTGATGCACGGGGACGATTCTCGTTTTCACGGATCTGGACCCAGTCTAATTGACGATCAAGTTCACATCTAGGCAAGACATGCGCCTTACATAGGATGCTAGTATCAAATCTACTGCCCAGGACCGTAAGCCATCGACGCAAAGCGGCTACACTTACTCATGTTACTATTCAGCCTCTGACTTACTAGCGCATTACCGCCGAGTTGAAGTTGTGTAAAAGTGGCACAAATTCCAACCATGAGGGACACCAAGCCAATGCTAAAACATTTATCTAACAGGAAGTTGAGACTTGGCTGCTTGGTCACCTGGAGCACCCTGAAACACAATATTCGCACCTTTAACATTTCTACTGAAAGGAGAAAAGACAGCGTTTCTGCGCGATTTTTTTGCTCTATTCCGACCTTACCTTTCAAGTTATCTCTTTGTACAATCGTTTTTTTTCATAATTTGAGTGTTTTTGCCATTGCACTCACAGGTTAACACGAATAATATCACATATTTCGTACCGATATGGTGGGATGGTTTTCGACTTGGTGACGTACGAAATCGACGCCACCCAATACCATTGTATTTCCCAGTCGACACTGAAATATACCATAGCGCTGTCACATTCCGACGCATCATGGTTAGGTAATGTAACGATTACTTCACGTGCTGAGCATTCACCGCAAGCCATCAACTTTTAGGCTTC